AAGTACTCGAAGGTATACCGACTGCGCTCACTTCTAATGTAGAGTCCACGAGTAATGAGATATTTTTAAGCCCGATGTCTTAAAATTACCGTAAGAATATCGGCATCAAGATTAAGTAAAAAAAAAAATTAGATTTTTAAAAAATGTCAGGGTGGTCTACCCCATAAAAGTCGTTTAAGTTTAATGGGTTTTCGCGGCACCATTTTTAGAAATTATAAAGATCTGTTTTGTAAATCCGACTGTCAAACTTGAGGTTGTCAGCGTACATAAGTTCTCTGGAAAAATGTAGCAGGTCCTTTATAAAAAGTATGAATAATAAGGGAACCATATAGCTGTAACAGAAGTTATTACACCCTTGCAGTCAGAAGTTTGAAACCCAGTGATGGAGTCATTTCCGAACATATAAAGTATATATATTCATAATCAGCATCGATCTTGCCATATCCGTCTGTCCGTTTCTAGTCAAACTCGTCTCTTAGGTATCTGAATGAAACTTTACAGTTAGTTTTCTATATACTCTTACTCGTATTCATATACGTATGTTGGAACAGGCCAGATCGGACGACTATCGGACAATAACGATCGGAAAAATACAAATTTTTCACTTGTACATAGGTAGCGCACATGTGTTAAACCAAAACGTCTGTACCTACACGTTAAAACGAGGGGCATCAGAATTCATTTTAGAGGTATGGTTTCGTGAGCAAAGTTTCTTATTTCGATCCCTAGAATCCGAAAAGCATATGTATGTGCCTAAGCGTTTTTTAAATCGACCCTAATATATAATAAAAAATAATATGTAATATATGTACTTACTTTTACCCATGCGTAATATACCCTGCAGTACCACATGTCATCAATAGGCCACTGTCATCAACGCACAGACTGCGACTTTTACCGAGGCGACGCTCTGCCGACAGCAACTTCGACCGAGTCGACGCTCTGCCCACGATACAGTTACGACGGTAGTCTAGACGGCAGTCGTCGGGAGTACCATGGCTCGGCCGTTGATGAATTGTTGATGAATTTTTAATGAACTGTTGATGAATTGTTGATGAATTTGTTGATGATTCATCGATTAATTGTTGATGACTGTTGATGATTCATTGATTAATTGTTGTTGATAACAGCCTAGGACATGCCCATGTTAAATTCATCAACAGTTTGTATGGCTATTAAACGATGAAACATCAACAACACCTCCTTGACTGTTGATGAATCGTTGATTTATTACTAATGAATGATACTGCAGGGTATTTACAGTTTTACAATAAGAGTTTTGCATTTTCCTCTACATTTAAAGATTGTTTGTATTTACAGATATATGACACCCTGCTGTACCAGTCATCAGTAATTCATCAACGTTTCATCAACAGTCAAAGCGGTGTTCTTGATGTTTCATCGTTTAATGGCCATGATTCATCGATGAATGGCCATAAAAACTGTTAAATTTTTAATGTCCTAAGCTTTCATCAGCAAAAATTCATTAACAATTCATCGATGTTTCATAAACAATTCATCGATGTTTAATTAACAAAATTCATCAACGACAGAACCATGATACTGCCGACTACTGCCGTCTAGACTACCGTCGTAACTGTATCTTGGGCAGTAGAAGTCGCAGTCGGCAGTCGATGACAGTGGCCTATTGATGACATGCGGTACTGCACGGTATACACGGTAGCTTTAAAACTGAGACTATTTTGTGTAGATACGAACAGACGGACATGGCTATATCGACTTGGTTGTAGATAGTGATTATGAATATATGTATGTACATATGTACATATGTATGTTTTATTGGGTCGGAAAATTCCTTTCCACTGCGCTGCAAACTTCTGACTGAAATCACCCTGCAAGGGTATAAAAAAACAACACAAGTCCTCTAAAGCTAATTGGAGACACCATCTTAATCTGATTAAACACCTGTGGGAGGAAATTAATAGAATATAATAAAAAACTACTGCTAAAATACATTTTTAAACCTACATCATATTGTAATTGTTAAAATGTATGTAAGACATCAAGTACCAAAAATATGATACATATAGCAAAATCGTTTAAATGTTTCATAAGTAAAATAATAAAATTAAAATTTTATACATATTTGTAAATGTTCCATCACTTCAGTGCGTCACTGTATGTACTATGTACACAGTAATGAAATTATCCCCGGCGCATGTTTTGTTTTGCTTGCGCTTATCATCGCGAGTTTATTAAATCTAATGGTATATATTTTGAAAATATTAAAATACAACTGCACCTGTGTTGGATGTTTTTATTTCTTTTTTAATTACTATTATAAAAGTAATAATATTTTTATAAGTGCACAGTGTAATCTACATATATCGCTTATTCTGAAATTCACATGGGTGCGCATAGACATTACAAGACCATAAATAATAATACTGAGTAAAATAAGATATAAAATTAATCATTAAATTAATCAAGCACTTAGGATTCGTCGATATTATTTTTTAGAAATATATCGATATATAGGACATTTTTCAAATGCATAATAAATAGCCTAATCATTTGCCACCATTATCTATTTACATGTTATAACCTGTTTCCACATGGTATTTGATAGGGTTTTGACATCCTATAAAATTTACCAACTATTTTTTGTCCATTTGGAATTTTTATCAGATACAACAGGCTTCATGTGACCTACGAGGGCAACCAAATCTCACTAATGAATTTGAAATTTTGGGGCAATCTATAGATGGAATAAAAACAACTATTGCCCCATATTGACCAAATAAAATACAATATTCGTTTAAAAATTCAACAATTATTTAACAATCTCCAATTTGTCTCCTTATTCATGGAAATTTAATGCTTACAATGAGTCTGAGATTTTGGTGTTGGAAATTGGTAAACTAATTATTTAATTCCACTTTAACCATCTTTGCTGGATGAACTAAATCTAAGTTTTATATTTGTTGGTGCCATCTGGTTCCGAATCTTGGGATAGAATCAGCTTCTTCCTTGTGTATACGGGATAGGAATCTAATTGCTAAAAAAATACGTATGAACAAGATTATGTCTTCGTATGATAGTATCGATTATTTATTATGTTATCGATGAATGTATTTTCCTAATTTCCACCTCTATAGTTTAAGTACCAAATTAATTGTTCGCTAAATGAAATTTGCACGGTAAAGCACCATTGCATATTGGATAAACCATCAGAGTTCATCATACATTTACTCCAATTTTTTCCAATTAAGACGTGTGGATGCTATCCCAGGAAGGCGCCGAAGCTACAATGAATGCTAATCGCGTAGCGACAAATATTCCATAACAAAGCATCAAATGTTGAAAGTGTCTTAAAGATTTAAATAGAGCCGGTTGTCCGTATAATTTGCCCTCCAAAAATTTTAGAATACATAATTTTACAATTTAATTTTTAAAATTTTACCCTCTCCGTACTGCACTTAAGAGAGACATCACACGCAGAGAGATCCCTGGGGAGCGCATATCACCATCCATCCTGCGGCGGCGGTGGGGGAATTGTCGGTGCTGTAGTCCTAGAGTGCCGCATCAAAATATGATTGACGAGCTCGATGGCTCAAGAGCGGGGTACTACGAATAGAATAGAACATTTTATTAAAACGGTCTGTTCACGACTGTTTTCAAAACTGTAGCCAAAAATACTTTTAGTAGAGATACCGACTTGAAATTTTTTTGTAGATATATGTAAAATTGTGTAAAAATATTATATTTAAAATATCAGCACCATCAACCACTTATATATCCCCCAATATCGAATCAACAGTGAAAGCTATAAAATGTGACTCCCAAATGCACGCATGCACTTTTTTCAACGATTGTATTTATGAAATACTTAATATTAATTAAATAATGAACAAAGGATATTTAACAAATAAAGATGAATTATATAAAGTTAATAATACTCACGAATAAAAAAAAAAGACAAGGACAACAATAGAAAACATTAAAAAACTGACAAAAAGACACAAAAACAGAACGAGGGGGGTCTTCTATAACGGATTCCAAACGCAGTCGCAGCAGATTTTACGCAAATTAAACTAACTTAAAGTTTCATTAGTAGCCGAAACTGACTTCACAACTTTTACCTTTTCAGAAGATTAATGTTTAATTGAACGGAGTTTGAAAAATTACAGCCGACAAACATTCAATGTTATAGTCACACATAGCATGTAAAATTAATAAAAAGGATACACACAATGTATATACCTTCAACTTTAATATTAACTTTCATTAAGCCTTTTAAATTAAACTTTTATAATGTTAATGTACAAAATACTGCACTATTTCAATAGTGATTTGCACCCGTGCAGTCGTTCGCTTCGTTTGTGCTGTCTCTTTGTGCGCTACTTCGCGAATTTATGGAGCAAAACAAAACAAAAAATCGCTTTCGGAGCTTTGCTTTATTGGTTAAAATAAATTAAATTAAAAATTCAAAAATTGAATAGGCCGGAGCGTTGATGACAGTGGCCTATTGATGACATGTGGTACTGCAGGGTACATACATATATTATATATTATTTTTTGGCCTATGGGACCGACCACTGTGTTACGGTTCCTCCTACGCGTAGGAGGACATCGCGATGTCTTAAAATTACCTTAAAAAAATATAATAAATATCGGTATCAAGATTAAATAAAAAAAAAATATCCTATTTTTAAAAAATTTCAGGGTGGTCTACCCCCTTAAATAAAGATGCTGAATGCAAAGATAAATGAAATTGCTCCACAACTTATTTATCGCCTTTCCGATCACTCATATTTCGTTATGCATGTGACACAGAGTTTTCAGGTACCTCTCTTTGGTTATTTTACGCGGGTCACTATCATGGACCATATTGAGCACCATTAGATTCCAGTGTCCAGCTTTATCGGAAGCTTAACTGACGGAATACTTACATGTAAGTACATATTTGAAAACTGCACATCGGAAGAGAAGGCTCATTGTTAATTTTAAAGGTTTTAAATAATAGAAATATTTCAGCATTGGTTTTTTCCACACTATTCATTAAAACGTTTAATCGATAAACGCATAGTTTGAATTGCAACAGTTTGTGTTTATTTATTTTTCCCCATCACTTCAAAACATTGATGTCCTTCTCACAAGTCCTGTACGCAACGCCAATTCCAAACCCAGCGCCAAGCCATGCAGGCCACGCACGTCGCTTAAAAAATAATAGAGACACCGCAGATCCAATAAGAAGCCCTCCACCTGAAATATTAGAAGAGATAGTATTTAAATATAAGCATCACTACACATTTCAGATCAAACACGCAGAATTAAAAAAACCTCCGATTTTTCGATCCTAAAAACATACATAACTATCAATGAAAATTAATTTTTGGATAATGTGCTAATTATTTTAAATTGATGACAATATCTTTGTCTTAACAAAATTTACCTAAAAACAAGAAAGAAATATAAATTCGGCACGCCGAAGTTTATATACACTTCCAGATAGAACTTCGATCACTCGGAATTAATACAATATAATTTTTATATATTTATCTAGTTTCAAATCTGCACTCGTTGTGATCGGTTGTGTTGCGCTTGTGCTTTGATTAACCTGCACACATTGTACAATTTTGGGCTCTGCCGAGTGCAGTGTCGGCACTTGGACAAAAACAAATATCTACAAAAGAAGTAAGATAAGGTTGCATTCCCTGCCCGTCGGGCCCTGCACCCTGCGCGCAGCTGTTTAGCTTATCTTGTTTTGTTTTATTTAAGCAACTTTAAAAAAGCAAAAATCAATCAATCAAACTAACTAAAGAAAATATTCTAATTGCCTAAATGGAGGGAGATAATTTTCCTAACTCTCAGCTTACTCGTAATCAGAAAGATTTTAGGGAAATGTACTACATAGCTGGCAAAATACCATCTGATATAAGGGGTGAATGCCGCCAAGCCACTCAGCGCCTATTATGCACGGAAACTCTCAACCTTAACATTTACTGTGGCTAGGAATCCCAGCTACACCATAGCCACTGTCACAACCAGTGCCAGCAGTGTCTGCTCTGGCACACGCAATGAAAACGAACCCGGCCTGACACCAGCCTACACCCTAGATACCTTTAATCTAGCTCCCAGCGCCGCTGCCAGAAGAATGCTAGATGATCAAAAGAAACGGACATCGAAGAGGAAAATTGATAAGAAATTGCCTATGATAAAACCTAAGCGAGTGAACATAGATCCAGATATACCATCGACCAGCACCAAACAGACGATATATGAAAACAGGTATTCAATTCTTGATATTGATATAGATTCTGGAAGTGGCGAAGACGAGGTAATACACCAAGACCCTAAAAAGTTTTGTTAAACCAACCTGCACAATCAGACGACAATACAGACGTTGGCAACCACGTAGATGATGATGCCACAAATGGAGACACACAGCTTAAGAGCTCATCAAAGCCACCACAAATAGTTGTACATATTAGCAATTTAAATGATCTTTTCGAGCTTATAGAGGAGGTTGCTGACGTGGAAAACGTAACTACTAAAGTCAATCAGGGAGAAACGACTAGAATCTTCGCTAAGGACACTGATACCTACAGGAATATAGTCAAACGACTGAAAGAAGTAGGCATCGAATACCACACATATCAGCTTCATAATGAGAAGCCACACAAAATCGTGATTAGGGGCCTTCACCATAGCACCCTAAACACCGATATTACTAACAAGCTGCTGGCTATAAGGCTCTCCATATCCATAACCCTCGCTCTAAGAGTAATAATAAAAAACTAAATAAATAAAATGTTCTTAAATAATGAAATATATAAAATTAAAACACTTTTCCGACAAAAGGTAACAATAGAAAGAACTCGAAAAACAAGCGAGATTGCACAATGTCGGCGATGACAGCAATATGGCCACACAGCCGGATACTGCCGCCGTCATCCTAATTGCGCCAGATGTGGGGAAGATCATGCCACTACACAGTGTATGCGCTCCCCTGTAGCTCAACCAACGTGCATACACTGCGGAGGAAACCACATGGCCAGTTATAAAGGCTGTGAATGGTATCAGGATTTCCTGCGTAGGGCAACGAGAGGCTCACAGAGAGTAAAAAACACAACTAGATCGAGTCGGACCCCTAACACCAATGTATTTGACAGGGAGCTAATAAATCAGCTATACGCCAGCAACAACATCAACAGTCGCAGCAGCGGCAACAGCAATTTACCCAGTAGCAACACAGCATGCAGAAGCAACAGCCATACAACGCTGTTGATAGTACAGGTGTCTCCTACGCTGCCGTCGCAAGAAGGAACACTAACTCCAATCCTGGGCCTGCTCAGCGCCGACTAGAAAATACTCAACAGCAGCTACTACTGAGCCAACAAGAAAACTCTAGCCAGCAATATAGATTCCTTGACGTACAATGCTGATGCAACAACAACAAAAACAATTCCAGCAATGGCAACAGCAGCTTCAGCAACAGCAGCAACAAAAATTTATTGCATAGCTTCGACATCAACAACAAGAACAACAACAACATAACCAACAAGCCAACCTGCGCCTAGAAAGACTTGAAAAAATTGTGAGCAAAATGGCAAATACAATAAAACAATGGGCTGGAGATAACACTAAACACCAGTCTCAGAAGAACGCCTCATCCTCGCAATGAATCCGCTTAAGATCCTCGTCTGGAATGTCAATGGCATTTCAGGCAAAGCTGGAGAAGTTGAGCTCTTTGCCCACAGCAACAGCATTGACATTATTCTCTTAAACGAAATAAGGCTGGACCGAGGAAAAGCAGCAAAAATATATGGGTATAAGCAGGGTATTACAAACCATCACCCAACAATAACAGCGGCGGAGGCTCGGCGGTACTGGTAGAAGCACACTGCGTCACTTCCTACAAAGAGTTATTGAGACGCCGGAAATACAGATGGCAACAGTCAAAGTAGCTACAGGATTAGGTGATATGAATTTCAGTGCTATCTATTGTCCTCCAAGAAATGGAATTGAAGAAAGGCAGTTCATAAATCTACTCCGCGGCTGCGGACAACGATATCTCACAGGTGGTGACTGGAACGCGCGGCACTGGCTGTGGGGCGATACATGCAGCACACCAAGGGGGAGAGAGTTAGCTGAAGCCATCACTGCACTTGCCACTTGCATTGACTTTGCAGTGCATCACGATATTCCAGACACTCTAGCGAGCATATGCACTAACTGGGATCTAGAATCTGACCATATGGCCCTAGTCATCACCATCCACACAGATAGAGTTGCTTTAAGCCCAACACCACGGCTGGTCACGAAGCGCACCAATCTGGCCACCTTTAAACAACTCTTAGACAGGATTTTGAATTTGCCGTAGACATTCTTACAGAGAAAATCAACACAGCCGCTATAGACTCAACCCCTCCAGAACCCTTAGCAACAATAACCAAGTATGGTATCGTACTCACAAGAGAGGTCAAAGAGTTACTTGCAACAAAAAGGCGGCTCCGCAGACGAGCTATTCGAACCCAAGACCCCTGGGATCGACTCCAGTGGAATCGAGCAAGTCAGCTACGAACTGTGCTAAGGCAACTTAGAAGCAATTTCTTTGAGCATAAGTTGGCCTCAATGGACTACACAATTGACACAAATTACTCCTTATGGAAATGCACCAAATCCCTCCGAAAGCAACCCTGTAGATAGGTTCCGATTAGATGCCCTGGTGGTAACCTTGCTAGGGACGAGAACGAACAGGCCAATGCGTTTGCAGAGCATCTGCAAACAAGGTTCTCGCCCTATGAATTTGCTAGTCCTGAAGAGGTCAGTGAGATATATGACAACCTACAGTCCGCTTCAGATGGCACGACCTATACAACCAATTAGAGTCGAGGAGATAAAGTGTTATAAAAGCCCTACCAAAATATAAGGCTCATGGCATTGACAGGATTTGTCATAAGACTCTCAAGGCCCTCCCTACCCAAGCAATTGTATACATAGCTGGTATATTTAATGCTATGCTACGGGTGCAGTTCTTTCCAAGGCAGTGGAAGATAGCGGCTATTCTTATGATTCACAAACCAGGGAAACCAGAAGAAGACCCAGAGTCATACCGACCAATAAGCCTACTCTCTTCTATCTCTAAGGTTTGGGAGCGACTCATCGCCAATCGCATACATGCCTTTGCTAACGAAAACAGCATACTGCCAGATCACCAGTTCGGTTTCCGAGAGGGCCACGGCACAATGGAGCAAGTCCACAGAATGGTGAGGCACATTCTGCAGGCCTTTGACGACTTGGAATACTGCAATGCAGTCTTCATTGACATGCAGCAAGCCTTCGATAGAGTCTGGCATGAAGGTCTGTTATCAAAAATCAAAAACCTGCTGCCAGCACCATACTTTGTTCTACTGCGATCTTACATGGAACAACGGGAGTTCAAGGTCAGCTTCGGGAACACATATTCCGCCCCTGCTGTAATGAAAGCTGGAGTTCCACAAGGCAGTGTTCTTGGTCCGCTGCTCTACTGCCTATACACGGCGGATATACCGAGACCCAGTTATGAGCATATGCAGAGCCCCTTGAAAGCACTAATTGCGACCTATGCTGACGACATCGCAGTTCTCTACAGCTCCAAATGCAGCAATGAAGCTGCAGATGGCCTACAGAGTTACCTGGATACACTAACAACATGGTGCAGGAAGTGGAATATGAAGATCAACCCCTCTAAGAGCATCAATCCATGCTTCACACTCAAGCGGCTCTTAAGGACCTTTCCTGTACTACAGTTGGAAGGTGTTACACTCGAACAACCCCAGCAAGCCAAATACCTTGGCATAACATTGGATACTAGGCTCACGTTTGGACCTCATCTAAAGGCGATAGCGAAGAAGTGCCGAAACAGGATGCAACAACTGCGCTGGCTAGTGAATCGCAGAAGCACCTTGCCGTTGAGATGCAAAAGGAAGGTGTATGTCCACTGCGTTATGCCGATTTGGCTTTATGGGGTCCAGATTTGGGGAATTGCAGCCAAATCCAACTACCAGCGCATCCAGGTCATTCAAAACCGTGCCTTACGAGCAATGACAAACTGTCCATGGTATGTGCGTGGATCCACCATACACAGAGATCTAAACCTACACAATGTGGAAGATTAGATCCAGCTGCACACTAGCCGATACAGAGATCGACTTGGCAACCACCGCAGCGCTCTAGCTAGGGCTAGGCCAGGCCTTTAAGAAGGCTTTAACGATTAGGATTTGCCAAAACCATCCAGCAGTAACCAGATCATCCATATGCAGCTGATTTAAATCCTAGTGTATGACACACGAGGTGGGGCCTTCTTTCTATGTAACTTATATGTGTTGTTATGATACTTATTGTTTGTATGGATTCTACACTTAATAAAAGAAAAAAAAATATATATATATATTTATCTTTAAAAAAACAATGAAGTAATGCCTGCTTTCATTTTATTCACCTATACATATTATTAAATACATTTTCCTCTATAGCTAACGATCATTTGTATGACAGCTATATGATACAGTCGTCCTATTTTCATAAAATTAAACACAAATTTCTAGAATAGTATAAAATGGCTATATCTCCAATCTGATGAAACAACTTGTTGTAATTTGTAATTGTATTAATTCCTCTCTCGTTTCTATGGGAGCTATATGATATAGTAGTCCGATATTCAATCAATTACACAAAATTGTAGAATTATATAAAATGGCTATATCTCAAATTTGATAAAATTCTGTTTAAAACAAAATGTTATATTTTATTGTAAAAATTATCCGATCGTTCCTACGGCATTGAACAAATTTGAGATGTAGCCATTTTATATTATGTATATATTATTTTATATTTGTGTCAAAATTTTTGAAAATCGAACGACTATATATTATATGTGCCATTTAAATATATGTATATCGTTAGATATAGAGGAAAAATGCAAATCTGTGAATGTAAAATTGTAAATATAATATGTTCATTGTCTTTTAACATAAATATATATAATTTATATTGTATTGATTCCTCGTCATCGAAGGGTATATAAACTTCCGCGTGCTGAAGTTAGCTTCCTTTCATTCACACATTCAACGATTCAAAGAGTACTACAAAATTTTGATGAAACCGGTACAGTTTAGTCAAAGCTACGTTCTGGTAGGCCGCCAAAACTGACCGATCGAAAGTCCTAGGTTAAAGGACGCAAAAATTAGCCAGGATATAAAGTTTAAGAAGGATTTACACGATGACACGAAAGATTTTGAAAAATTAGGACTTTCATGCCTATGTTGCGTAGAAGAATCCTCTCATATCGCCCGCCAATAAAAGGAAGCGCGTGGATTTTTTTTTTAAAAATGCATCCAAGAGCCTTTAGTATTTGGAACAATGTTCTTATTAGTGATGAGAGCAAATTCTGCTTATTTGGCATACAAGGGCGAAAACTTGTGTGGCGCAAACTGCCCTTGAAGTGCAGAACCTCGCGCCAACGGGCTGGGGCTGTATGGCAAGTGTAATTGGCAACCTGGTCTTTTAAAAAACCTTAAGGACAACTTGCACCAAAGCGCATCAAAATTGGGTCTGACAGATGATTTTTGGTTCCAACAGGATAATGACCCTAAGCATAATGCGCATAGTGTGAAGCTATGCTTGCTTTTTAATACATCAGCTCATTCACCGCCTCAGTCGCCGGACTTAAATCCCACAGAGCATCTGCGGGATTTTCTGGAGCGAAGGATTCGTCTTCAAACAATAACTTCAAAAGATACGTAGAAGGAGGTGGTTTTGAATGAGTGGAGCAAAATACCATCTGAATTCACGGAAAAATTGATTCATTCAATGCCAAAACGCTTGAATGAGACAATAGATAGAAAGGGGTGTCCTACTTTCTACTAATACTAATTTCATCCACGTTTTTCTTTTAATTGAATGAAGTTTGTACGCACACTTTTTCTTGCCCGAAAACTTGGGTATTTTTGTTTTTTAATTTTAATTAAAATATTTGTTTATGGAAATAAATGAAGACTGGTTATAATTTTTAACAATTGATGTTTCGTTAATTTAAAAAAAGTCCATATCTTTCCTACATCTTTATTTATTTAACATCAAAGTTGCGCATTAAGATTGTTCAGGCTTTTTCTGGCTAGTGTATATAAACTGCACATATGTATGTATGTATGAAGCTACTATAAGACTGCAAAAGATGCAACTTGCTTATGATTAATTTTAAAGTAGGAAATATTTGCCATATGTACAACGAACAAATTATTGACTTTAGTATAAATTTGACAAAGAAAATTGTTAGACAACAGGGAATTATTATCAGATTTGAAGTTTCCCCAACACCAATTTTGGAGCTGCAATTATTTGGGGATAAAATATGACAAAAAAGAACTTTTGCAGAGCAAGCATTCAGTGTTATTTTGCACTTCCTTTTGGAAAAAACAAATTCTGAGGTAGTATTGTTCAATACAATACAATAATATAATAAAAAATACACTACAAATTGATGTTATTTTTTTACATATAATCCAAAAGTAAGTTAAAAATTGTATAATCTAAGACTTATATTGAAAGAGGTATCCATTTTATTAGTTACTTAATTGCAAGTTTATTTCAATATATGGGAGTGATAAGCACTAATTCGCATTATCTCTAAAGCCTAAACACCTACTGCTGCTTACATAATTCGAATTACTTACATCCTTTAATTAATGTATCTGAGATACAACGATCCAAACGTTTTCCAATCTTTTCCTCGATATACTTCTCCTCAGACTTCATTCTTTGACTTTAACTTTTTAAAACTTACAAAAAATAATTCTCGCCCCAAAGTTATACAAGTCAAATATTTTTAATTTCTCAATGGAATCGATAATATGTAGATAAAATTATTAATAATTCAAAATGCACCGTTCCCACAGGCTGTACTTCACATACTTGATACAAACATAAGCTATTTGTTCGCGCGAAATATGATGTGTTGTAGGATCAAAAACAGCTGTAGTTTTCTAAGGGAAATAAATGAATCGAAAATATTTTTGAAGCCAGAATTAATGTAAAACAAAAAATAAATAAACGTAGTAATGACAAGACCCTTAATTTAAGATTTAATTTCAGAGAGTCATTTTAAATATGGAAATATTTTGGTTATTGAAAAGCGACGCCTTTAGTGCAACAGTTATTCGCCTTTAGCTCAATAGCGGCGAGTACATCAATAAATAGTATTCCCAAAATCCAATCCGTTCTAATTCAATTTAAATTATGTTAGGATGCATTTATCTCTGCGATGTCCGCTTCCGAGTTCCCGAGCCTCGCTCGCTGCTAGTTCGCGCTCCACTTCTCAGGCCCACTCTCGCACTGTTAATCTTAGCTTATCGGTCGGGTGCGCAGCCCATATGTTTAAGCTTATCAGTTCTACGTATGAAGCGAATTAAAGCTAAGGCACTGAAGCGAGCCCAACGACGTCCCCGACTTCTCTTTTTAACCTCTACGGGTTATATTATTCTACGACTTTCAATAAAGAAAGGTAAGTATAGTCTCTCTTCCGTCTCGTTCTCGCTGCTGTTCTTTAACAGTGGGCCGAACATTTAATTTCGCTAGCCCAGTTAAGTCCAAGTCTGAGTTTTCCTGACACAACTGCACTTGAGAATTTCATATTTATCCGCGTCTCCGATCGTCAGAAATTTCCATCCGTGTCCGTTTTGTGACTTCTCGCCATTTCTTTGGGTTTCCCGTTGTCCATCCACTTATCAACGGTCGAGGCCTATGTTCAGCCCCATACACACACACGCATTCTAAACTTGTGCACATATCCGTACTGGGAAAAATTTTAAGTGAACAGTGAAATTGTGTCGCCGAACAGTCCGAATGTCCGCGATTTTTTCTAATATTTTTGTGCTGTATCCATGCTCATTTTTTCGTTCCCGCAATTCAATACAGTCCACATCTCGATCTTTCACTGTGCCAATACATGCCCTTACACATTGTTCCTATTTGTATGCATGCCCATATATTTTCGGCCTCCGATTAATATATTTAAAAATAATATTTAAAAATTCAAAGTGAGCAAAACAATCACCAGCAAAACCCAAACGCAAACGCGAGTGTTTTTTAATGGTCTTTAATTTAGCCGCCGCAGCGGCAGTGTTGATGTTGCCATTTAGTTCTTTGGGTCCCTCACATAGCCACCGCTTGGCGGCGGCATAACCCAGTGAGCTTTTCTCCGTGACCAAAAATTGTTACTTTTTAATTCCATCTTTTCGGCGCTGAAATATTTAACATCTGCTGCTGATAACTTTACAAATTAACAAATAGTTTAACATCCACCAATAGATCCAGAATTTGAATTTAAATAATTCATTTAATTAAATTAATTTTAATTTAATGTTTTCAACTTAGCCGCCGCAGCGGCCGTGTTTTTGTTCCGTTTGGTTTCTTTGAGTCCCGCACATACGCACGCTTTGCCGAAGGCATAACCCACTGAGTTTTCTCTCGAACAAAAACCAAGGGTTTATTTCGATAAATAAATTTGACAACTATCAAATACATCCGACCAATGTTCTGAGCAAAAAATATATGCAAACCTCCACGTCCGAGCTATGTAATACAGACCAAATATTAAGTGAAAAATACATGGATTATAAATTCGTATATTCACACATACTAGCCCGAACTACCACCCATATATATATTGTAACGAATTTCTGCCGTGATCGGGCCACGGACAGAGTTCACTACGGAAAGCCGAGCGAAACTTTTTAATAGGTGTGGCTGCCTAGAACCCGGTCGAACCCATTCACTCGTTCAGATCTATATCTTAGCTTTTCTTTATTAGTAATCAATACCGTGCTTTTCCGGACACGTTCGTAAGAAAAAGGGAAGAAAACCGAGAGCGCTTGGAGAGACCAGGCATCCTGGCTGTATAAGGGAATTCGCGGCTTCTTGCGATGCAAACGCGGACTCTTCGAATCTGGCGGTTTTCGTTACATTACCCTCCTTTCAGACTCGAGCCTCCTGGCCGAGTAATTACTCGGGATTCGGGTCCGGATATGTTGACAGGCGGTTAACCTGAACGGTCCTAGTGGTATGTTTCCTTGGTAGACGGATCTCGGTGGCGGGTCCAATCCAATCCGACTGCAACTTAGGGCTTCTTCCCACCCTTCGAGTAGGAGCGTATAGTCATACTTCATCTCCAACGACAAACTCCACTGGCTGCGACCGAAGGTCATTGCGTGACTTGTTGACATTGGCGGCCGCAATTAAATGTTTTCGTCCGATCTTCTGCGTTTGTCGGAGGTGGTTCTGCATTTGGTCCACTAATGCGGGGTAACTTTCCGGATTCAGGGAAGTTTGCTTGGTAGCCAGAGCTCGCGTCCCAGTGTAAGTAGCGACAGTGAGAACCCAGTCGCCTCATGCGTGGCCGATCGATAGGCCCACAGAGCTAGCGGCAACAACTGGTCCCAGTGGCGTTGATCGGCGTCCACGAATTTCGCCAAATAGTCCAGAAGGGTTTGGTTAAACCTCTCAACCAGTCCGTCCGATTGAGGGTGCAGCGGCGTAGTACGACATTTTCCACATCAAGGAGGCCCAGGCTAGCCTGGAATACTTCTGACTCAAAGTTTCGGCCTGATCCGAGTGAAGGATGAAGGGGACACAAAATTGGCAAAACACTTCTTGGACGAGCGCTCGGGCCATCGTTTCGGCCGTTTGTTTGGGCAGCGCTATGCATTCCGGCCATTTGGTGAAGTAGTACATCACTACAGCGATGTAGCGGTTTCCTTGTGCTGCCGTGGACAGCGGACCCAGTATGTCGATCGCAAGTCGCTCAAATGGAGCGCCCAGAATTTTTGGGCTGCAGTTGGCCCACCGTTCGGCGAGTAGGTCCTCTTCTGGCATTGCCCTCAGTACAGCGGGCACACCAATGTCCAAACACATCGGCGGTTTGTCCGATCCAAAAGTAGCTTTCTTTCAGCTTGCCAATCGTCTTTTTTAATCCAAAGTGTCCACCGGTCGTGGAGTTATGGGCGCTGCGAATGGCTCCTTCCTGAAGAGAGGTACTACCAGAGCTGGGTCTGCCGTTTTGGAAGTTCCAGCAGTTCATCAGCAGGTTTATCCATGAAGAGCTGTTCGAACAAATGCCAATACGCTTTTACTTCGGGGCTTTCACTCCATGTTGTAGGTTTTGCCGGTCGCTCTCCGTTTTCTAGCCACTGCAAAATCAAGGCGAGAGTGAGGACTTTTTCCTGGCTGCGAGCGATGTCGATGGGTTGAGTTTGCAGAAAATGGATCTCGTGGCCATCGTTTTGCTCGGCACTGGTACATACGCGGCAGTCGCCACAGGGTCAATGAGACAAGGCGTCAGCGTTTCCATGTTGCTTTCCGCTGCGTTGGTTCATGTCCATGTCGTATTGTTGGAATCGTCCAATCCATGGAGCTAATTGTCCTTCAGGCTCCCGAAAGTTAAAGAGCCATCGGAGACACGAGTGATCCGTGCGCAGTAGAAATCTCCGGTCATAGAGGTAGTGGTGGAGATGCTTCACGGCCAAGACAACCGCTAGCAGCTAAAGGACTTGCTGTAATACTCCAGTACACGCTCCTGGCCGTCTTGCCATTGACCGAGCACCGCCCCCGCACCATGGTTTTGAATAAACTTCTGATAATAAGAACATCGCCCCACAAAGGAACGCACTTCCTATTTTTCCCGAGGTGGTGAATAATCGACGACTTTTGGAACCTTCTCTGGATACGCTCTTAAGACCTTGCGGCTAACAACGGACCCAGATAGTTAACCTCGGTCCGAAAGAAGTGACTTGTTGGGACTCAGCTTCAGCCCTTCGCTCTGGAATCGAAGACTTGCTGCAAGTGGTCCAGGTGCTGCTCGGCGGTACGAGAATATACGATGATGTCGTCGAGGGAATTTTCACGTAGATTCGGAGAACAAATAGTCCATCAATCGCTCAAAGGTGGCTGGCGCGTTGATCAAGCCAAACGGCATTGTTGAATTCGAACAGACCTGCGTCACACGTCCTCGTCCATCTCCACCTGCCAGTAGCCGCTCTGTAGGTCCATGGTGGAAAACCAGCAGGCACCGTGTATAGTGGCTAAGATGTCGTCCATTCTCGGTAGGGGGTATGAATCCTTGACGGTAATGTCGTTCAGACGTCCACACAGAATCGGGTAAAACCATCCTTTTTCTTTACCAGGACGACCGGTGAGGCCCATGGACTGGTGGACGACCGAATTATGCCCCTAATCTTCATGTAGGCGACGAGCTGCTCTACCTCGCCCTTCCTGCTAAGCGACGCACTGGTTGTTTAACAGGTCGAGATTGTCCCGTGTCTATGACATGCCGGGTTAAGTCGGTACGCCCCGAGTCGTCGCTGTTTCGTGCAAACACTCGAGGGAAGCGTTCGGTTAGTGCCGTCCATTTTGGGTGAAGGTGGGCCCACAAGTCCTTGGGCACTTTTGCGGGGGAAGATGCCCCGTTTGCTACCATTGTGTTGTGACAGCAGTTATTTTGGGGTGCTTCACGACTCTCTTTGTCGCAGACAACGGTTATTTTAGATGTGCTCGACGACGCTCTTGGTCGGCGTAGCGAGACGGTGTTCTGGATCGCAGAAGAATTCTATGCCCTGAGACGGAGCGACACTCTCTTTGGGCGGCGGCGGTGAGAGCATGGGGGCCAGGTCGGCTTCGAATCCCTTAGGAGGAAAGCTATTGTGGGCGCCAGAGGTGGTAATCCGGTCCAGTATTCGTTGAATGAAGAGGGGTTGGACTCGTTCTCCACGCGAGTCATTATCTGTCCCAACGCCTTCAATTACTGGGTGCCCTATGGCGACATCAAGAGCAGACGTTCCCGAGGTATTTTATTTT